ACACATTTGCTTTGATGACAAATTTGAAGAAGTGAACAACAGCATCACATCTTATTATGAATTTAGCGAGTGGTGAAAGGCAGGGGCCCCTTCCTGCTGAGGCTCTGTTTGTTCAGGGGGCACTCTGGAGGAATGACTTACCAGGCGCTGAGGTGAGTTACAGTCTTGTAAGCGCGGAGATGAGAGGGGGTTGAACTTTTTTGTCATGTGTCAGTAAACAGTGTGGCTTGTTTGAAAGGCCCCTGGATTACAGGGTGAAGAGTTGCTCTTTAAACCTTTAAAGCTTCAGGGGTAACGGGGGAGACGTGCCACATCAAGACAGAGCGAGGAGATGAGGAGCGAGAGCAGCTAAAAGCCTCCTCTCACCCAGGTGTGTGTCTGCAGAGAGGCGGAGGAGCTGTCCTGCTTTGCACAGAGTTTGGGTCGTGCTGCGTGATGGAGCATCCAAAATGAGTTTCACTAAGATAAGGAGGCTTGGGTTGGGACAGACAGAGGTAACAAATAAAAAACATTGATCAAAAACAAAGAAAAAGGAATGCATAGATGACGAAAAACATTTTCAAAAACTTTATTACAGTAAACACAGGTGGCTTAATAAGAAACTTAATAAACCTAAAATTAACCAAAATGCTTTGAATGACACGGACAGAGTGCAGCTGTACAAACTTTTAAACTAAATCCTGATGACACACACACACACACACACACACACACACACACACACACACACACACACACACACACACACACACACACACACACACACACACACACACACACACACACACACACACACACACACACACACACACACACACACACACACACACACACACACACACAGAAACAATTCAACATAATTGACAGCTGCATCCATTTGCTCCATCCAAGCTCCCCCACCTCCCCTCCCTCCCACTTTCCCACTCTGTTCTTCCAACACCATTTCCTCTTTTAATTATCCCCCCTCCAAAAAAAGATGGAGCACATCAGAAACATCGCGGTAAATCCGGGCCCTGGCACGAGCTCACAGTGGCTCCTGCGTCTGGCAGTCCCGATAGAGTCCTGCGCGCTGGCAGTGACAAGAGAAGGAGGGCGCCTGGAGATTTTCTGACAGAAAGAATTGGGAGGATGATCTCTCAGCAAAACAGAGGTCCTCATTCTCCTCCCGGCGTGGGAGGCTTTTTGGCAAGTGCTTTTTTCCCCATCATACCACATTTTCAGCACCAGATTAGCCAGTTCTCAGGAGCGAAGCTCACACAGACCCCTTGTTTACACCTCAACTACATAGTGTTTCTGTAATGACCGCTCTGCAGAGGCTCTGCAAGCGCCGCCGCTCTCCTATCTCCCCATGCAACATTTTTGGGGTAAGACCTATTGTATATTGCAGAAATGGAGATATGTAGTTTTTGTTATATTGAAAGAAGTCTCCTCTGACCTGAAATGTGTTTTATTGAATGAGTTGTTCACATTTTAATCAGCCACCCAAATGGGAATTAATTTCTTTTTTTTTTTTTTTTTTTTTTTGCCTTTGGCAAGTCGAGAAAGGTTGCAAGTTAACTACTGCTGTGGTGTGTTTCTGCCGAAGTTTCTTCTCTCTGTGTGGGGCACACATCATTCACAGAGGTCTCCCATCTGACAGTCGTTCAGCAGGCAGATGGTGTCGTCTTCTCCCTCAGCGAGATCCTCGGACACGGTGGAGCTGAAAATCCAGCTTCTTGCTCTTTCCCCCTCTCTTTTTCCTTTTATTCCATCGTTCTGAGATGAAGAGTGGAATGCTCTACAGCGGGTAGGTTTCTCCTCCTCCTGGGGGTGACTGGGAAAGCAGGCGAGGGCCTCTGTGATGTCAGTTTCCCTTCAGGGTGGGGAGGAGAGTTGGAGCGCAACTAAAGATGATCATTTTGAGATCTTGAGAGACAGAGGTCCTCTCTGCAGAAACACAGAGGGAGGATGACGAAGATCTGAGTAATGAGAACTTCTGGATGTTCCACCATGATGGGAGTGATAACAATGGTGATGATGGGATGATGGTGACATGGTGTGTTACAGATGACTGCCAGAGGTTTGGACTGAACAGCATTGAGTTGTAAGAAACAAAAAACCTTGCTACTGTACTTCACTAAAGAAAATGTCATTCTTCTGCAAAGTCACATTTAATAAAAGTGATTTCCAAAATGGTCTTTAACTTAGAAGCAAATGAAAAATGTAAACATCTGTTCCTTACACATTCTGATATAACATGTCCTCCCCAAAGTAAACATTTGCTCCAGAAACTCACAAAACAAAACAACATCCCGTTTCATAATCCACAACAATTACGCAGCACGGCGTGATGAAAGCATATCAACGAACTACTTATGTCATAGTAAAAGAGCAGCACTTCAAACATGAAACCCTCTGAAGCCTATGGGAGCTTCAAGTCGATCGACGATCAAAGCAGCAAAAGCTTATCAACAACGTTTCTGAGCATTGGAACAAAATCATATGGTGTTGGATATTCAACCATGCTGGCAGTGTTTTTGCCCCGGGACACAATGGCTATTGTAGTTTTTTGTAAACATGAGCTTTTTTTTTTTTTAAGAGTAAAGCTGTGAAGAGCACGCTGAAGTGTAGAGGGGGGGGGGGGGGGGCAATTGTTGATGAAAGGCTAAAGGATAGGTCTGACCTTTCTGGCACCAGCTGGGCTTTGGGAGTACAATACATGGGGCCAGTTCTTTCTGGCATGTTCCCTCCCATCAGTTGAGGGCTATGCTTACAAATACCCTAAGTCCAAACATCTTTAGGTTTGCATAAACAGTGAACCTCCCCTAAGCAGGCCCATCCAGTTTGGCATCACAGAGCAGGGAACACATAGAACAGACTGCACAACTTCATTTCATCTGCAATTCCTTTAACGAGAGCTTTTAATCGATGAAAATAGTTTCCCTGACATCACTCTGAGGATCGTTTGCTTCTAAAGGAGAGCTGAAAGGGAAAATCGCAACTTGAACAAAATAACCAAAGCCACTGTAAACTTCAAGTGCTTTGTTCCCGGGGGGCCCACACACGCAAAAGGGCCTTTGTGTGACATTTCAAAAGGCAGCATCACAAGGTCATGGCAGAACAAGGGCCATGCAAACACAGAAAAGAATTTTTTCAAAAGGGAGGGTGCAATTCTATAGGTAAACTCTAGCAGACAGGAGATAAGTTCGCCATGAGCGGTCAGACAAAGGAAACCGTGGTCTGAAAAGGTAAAGAGTAGTAGTTCCTGACGTGTGAGAGGCCTCATGGTCAGCAGGAGAGTATAAAAGGACCTGTGGGGGAGTCTGCGGCTACAATGCGCTAACATCCACAGGCCTGTAACCATGGGAAAGGTACAAGCTTCCACAAGGACACGGAGGAACGATTAGCATGAAACAAAAATGAAAAGAGAAACCATGGTGTATTTTTAACTTATGCTTAGATTTAGAAATACAATGTTATGTTTTCTCCGCAGGGAGGCTGGGCTCTCCCTTAAAGAAAGGGGGAGAAGCTCGGTCATCCAGGAGAGGCTCGGAGTAGATTCTGCTCCTCCACATCGAGAGGAGCCAGTTGAGGTGGTTCAGGCACCTAGGTTCTAGTTAGAATGCCTCCTGGGCGCCTCCCTTGTGAAGGTTTTTGGGCACGTCCAACTGGGAGAAGACCTAAAGGAAAACCCAGGACACGCTGGAGGGACTATGTCTCTCGGCTGGCCAGGGAACACCTCAGGATTCACCCGGAGGAGCTGGCCCAAGTGGCTGGGGAGAGCAAGGTCTGGGTTTCCCTGCCTAGGCTACTGCCCCGTGACCCGACCCCTGATAAGCAGCTAAAAATGAATGGATACGTTTAGACATGCATAAAACATGTTCTTTAAATTAAGAATCAGTCTTTTTCAGGTACTTCAACTCTTCTCTTTGTTGTTTCTCTTAAAGATTGTCTTCTACGAGGGCTCCAACTTCCAGGGCCGTCACTGGGAGTGCAGCAGTGACTGCGTGGACACCTTCAGGCACTTCAACTGCTGCAACTCTATCCGAGTCAGCGGCGGCCACTGGGTGACCTACGAGAAGCCCAACTACATGGGTTACCAGTACATTCTGGGCCCCGGCGAGTACCACAACTACCACAGCTGGATGGGCTTCAACAGCTGTATCCGCTCGTGCCAAATGTTCCCTCCCGTAAGTCAATCAAAGTGATGGATGGGATCAGTGGTCCTCCCCCACCACCAACCCCTACTCACCTTGCACATCAAAAGCCGCTTTAGAAATATATGTCAATCACTGGGTTTTTGATAGCAGACGCTCACACAGGTCACAGCATAAAAGTCTCTGCTTCAAGGCCCAAAAGGAGACTCAGTCATCTTTTAAATCGGTCATGACGTCCCCCCCCCCCCCCCCCCCCTAAGATTTGGTCCCTTCGCTCTAATTCTGTTTGTCACTCTGAGTGTTTTTGGCAGTTTAAGGTGAAAAAAAAACCTGTCATCCTCCAAAAGAGTTCTTGCTCATTCTCATTTGTAGTTACTAAAAGATATCAAGTAGCGCAAGTTCTTGCTTGAATTCAAAATTGGTCTCAGCGCAGAAGGCTCCCTCTAGGGTTCGCATCGACTGAGCCAGCATGATAATCATGTTCTGATTTCTTTCACCATGCAGTACAGAGGATCCTACAGGATGAGGATCTACAACAGGCCTGAGATGATGGGACACATGATGGAGTTCATGGATGACTGCCCCAATGTGTACGAACGCTTCCGTTTCCGTGACATTTACTCCTGCAACATCATGGAGGGCTTCTGGATTTTCTACGAGCACCCCAACTACAGGGGGCGCCAGTATTTCCTGCGCCCTGGTGAGTACCGGGCCTGTGGAGACTGGGGCTGCCACAACCCCATGGTGGGTTCCTTCAGGAGGATGAGGACTCCCATGTAAACTCATCACGCCTCAAATGAACATTAAATATGCCATTGTAAAATATCTCTGCCTGGTGTGTGATTCTTTAAGGAAAACCGTGAATTATGCAGGAGTGAGCGCGAGGTACGTGCTGCATTTTCATCCGCCTGCCTTCCCAGCCTGGCTGCAAGTTTCTGGTATTCATGCCAGTAAAGGCAGATGCTGCAACTCCTATTGAAGGCCTCAGAGAAAATGCAGTTGCGTGGTGTTTTTTCCACAGACAGCATGAACTTTGACAGAGACAAAGCAGCTACTGCAGCTCACCGGTCCTGTAGTTCTCTGCCCTCTATAGAGCGCGCTGTGCTGACACGGCAAAGCTTTGTTTCACGTGCACAAAGCCCTGATCCCAGCAGGATCTATAAAGAGGCCCGACACAGGCCTGCATCTGGTCTGGTCTGAACTTTACACAGGCACAATGAGCAAGGTAAGCGTGGGTCGTGACTTTTCCTTCTGTAACTGCTGAAATACCAATATTTCATGTTTGGTAAAGTGCTTTATGTTATAAATAAGCTTCTGGTGGCAGAAAAAAAGGTGTTGATCTGTGCTTGTTGGATGTAAATCAAGTACAGAATATTTAAATTAAAGATATAATATAGAAAAATTAAGATTAAGTAAAATAAACAGATTTATAGACATGTATTGAACCTGGTTCAAAACGAAGTAGTAAAAACCTCAAACTTTTCATGAGTTAGATAGAAGGGGCACTGACCTTTTTCTTGCTAAATGGTGACCCTTTATGTGACAGTTTAGATAACTTAGTTATCTTCAGCAACTTAAACCACTAAATGGTTCCCGAGCGCAGCCGTGTCTGCAGCTCACCACCCACCCAGGGGACGGGTCAAATGTGGAGAACTAATGTCACACACCAGTGTGCCAACTAGTGGGACCTTTAACTTTGACTTCATTTTTAACAATGTATTTCTCAGAAATAGAAACTGATGAGTTTAATGATTCGACAGAAAATAATTCTAGATGTGATTAAAAGGTGAGTCTGAATTAATACTTGAACAGAGTTTCTAATAAAGTAAACATTTTTATTTCATAGTTTGGAATTAATTTACAACGTAACATCTGCCCAGTTCTATAGAATTTGTGCGATTGCCTAATTTTTCGAAGGTAATTGTTGTACTTATATGTCTGTTTAAAGATAACTTCAATTTATTTTGTCCCAAAAGGCTGGTGCAATGACGCAACTCAGGCCTTTGGGACGAATAAAGGATGAGTTAAATATTTTCTCTAGGAAATAGTAAAACATACTCCAAGCAGCATCCTTCCACTATATTTCTGATTTATTACTTTGTATTTTTAAAACACTTGCTCTTCTTTTAAAAAAACAACAACATAGATCTCGTTTACAAATGTGATTTAGAGTGGTTTATTCAAAGTTAGCAAAAATATGGTTTCTTAGTTTGAGTAATGGACATACTCTTTGGGGAAGGGGCGGGGGCGGGGGAGGGGGGCATTTCCCCTTCATTTTTCATTTCGGCTTATCTTTACTGAAATTAGTTAGAGTGTGATGCTATTTTTATTTTAATGAAGCCTAGTAACCAGACATTCTAAATATTTCTGTAAGTTTGGATTTTCAACTCCCCCTCTGCCACTTTTGAAAGGAAAATACTTAATTGGTCTGAGTACGAGTTTGTCTGAGGCTCAGTGGTGATCCTGTCGTGTTCAACCATCTATCATGTGCAGATTATCTTCTATGAAGACAGGAACTTCCAGGGTCGGCACTATGAGTGCAGCAGTGACTGCCCCGAGACGCAAAACTTCTTCAGTCGCTGCAACTCCATAAGAGTTGAGAGCGGTTGCTGGGTGGCCTACGAGAAGCCCAACTATGTTGGCTACCAGTACATGCTGCACAAGGGAGAGTATCCAGATTACCAGCACTGGGCTGGCTTCAATGACTGCATCCGCTCCTGCCGTATGGTGCCACCCGTGAGTTTCAATATCTATCCATATTCTAGCAATAAATCGTTAATCTATCACAAAATGAAAAGCATTCACTTGTTTTTATCGTAGTACGCTGGAAACTACAGGATGAAGATCTTTGAGCGATCCGACTTTGCAGGCCAGAATATGGAGCTAAATGAAGACTGCCCGGATCTGCACGAGCGTTTCCACACCCGTGACATCTCCTCTGCCAACGTCATGGAGGGCTACTGGATGCTGCACGAACACTCCAACTACAGGGGGCGCCAGTACTTCTTGCAACCCGGAGAATACAGAAGGCATAGCGAGTGGGGAAGCACCAGCCCCACTGTTGGATCTCTGAGACGTGTCACACAGAACAACTGATTCATAGTAAAAGTTTTTTAACCCTAGTATTTAAAGCCCCTCCCCCTGATTTTGTTTCCCCCAGTACAAGCTTCAAACACAGGTGTGGTGTCCAAACCTGCAGGTATAGTGGAAATGTAGATGCTGGGTTGTGGCTTTGCTGTTTCGCATCAACTCTGTGCTCAAACACGCTCACACCCAAAAAGAAAGATCATTTGCTTTCCATACTATTGCTTTCTGTTGCAGGTCCCAATTGGAATCCTAATAAATAAAACTTGATGAAATTCATTTGAAGGGAGTTTTTGTTCATTTTCTGTCCACTAGCTGTCACAATCAAGAAATCCCTCTTCTCTTTAATATCAGGATTGAACTTCAGTTTCATCCAGCGTGACATAGAATAACCATTGAGCCTTGCATGTTATTGTCATTCTACATCCACAAAGAAAAAATATCAAGGAAACAGAAGCTTATTCTTTGAAGTTTGCTATTAAAGTCAAAAAAGGAAGAGTATCTGAGGACGGGCATGTCGGAGTCTTTATGAGATCACATGGTACAGAGTGAGCGCTTTGGGTCCATGAAAGATGCCCACATTAGATCCACATCACAAGACCAGCACCAACTCAAAGAGCCGGAGTCAAAGTGGCCTGGTATTAGCCCCGAGCTCCAAGCTCTCTCAGAACAAAAAAAAAACACAAAACCCAGTCCATGTCCCTGCTCATCCATTTTTCATCAGACCAAGATGTGGAGCCCTTTCAGAAATAAATATCAATTATTGAAATCGTTAATTAGACACTGCGTAATTGCAGATGATGTGCATAAATAAGAAACCTTCAACCATTAATTATTGATTTTAAAAAATTTGAAGCCCAGCAGAGAGGTCATTTGAGAGACTTAAGATCAAGCAGAACAAGTAATATGAGTTTTGGCTTTAAGTAATGTTCAATTAAAAGATTGTCAGCTTTGCTGTACAAGTCCAGCGATTTTGCCATCATCTTTCTTATGTTTGTGGACAACAACGCCCAGTGGACGGCAACATCAACGGGGAGCGGTGGGAGAACGGATCCACCGGGTTCTGTGGCCCCCTGCGGTAAGAGATGAGAGGAAGGCATGGGATGTAACTGGGAGTTACTTTGGGGTAAAAGAGGTAGTGGTTTCTGATTTTAAATACATGAATGCATTTCAGATGTGGAAAGAAGTCAAAGGAAACATGTCTGCTTAAAGTCTCACGTCCAAAACTTTACAGCAAATAAATGCACTAAAAATTTGAACTAGAAATGTTAGCATGAAGCTTTGTTTTTTCTATCTTGCATCTCCTATTGTAATGTGAAAATGCTAAATGTGAGAATTTGCTCAACTCATCCTTGTTTGGGGTTTCTTTTAGTTGATTTTCAACATTTTCCCTGAAGAAATATTTATAAAGAAAAGTGTAATATAAAGAGCATATAAATTATAAGATAAATTGCACTTGTAAAATGTGTTTAATACAGTAATTCCATTAGAAATTAGCAAGACAATAAAAATGTTTTGAGTAACACGTTACAAAAAGGGCCCATTTGTTCACATTACTTGTGCCTTATTAAGCATTAGTAAACAAAGGATACCTTTATTAACGTTTCCCAATATTTTATTATATATCCATCAGCGTCAGCCTGAAGAAGCCGGCAGCTGTCGGCGAAACCGTAGCTACAAACAGGTAAACAAAACTGTTTCTGTGTTTAAAAAAGAACGAAAGCATGGGTTTCCCAATATTGTCAATTATTAAGGCTCGGAAAGGATAGGGGTGTGTTGTCTAGTGATGATGACCCCAGCTGCACTGGCAAAGGCAAGACCTACCAAACACCGGTGCCGCCGGTCCCTCCGACCACCACCAGCAGGCAAGGTGGGTTTTGTCTTGCCCAAGGACACAACAGCAGCATTCTCTGGTTGAAGCTGAAATCGAACCTGCAATCCTCTGGTTACTAGACAACCTGCTTTACCTCCTGAGGTACTGCTGTCCCTTAGCTCAGTAATGGATAATGTATTATTAACATTAATATTAAGCAGTTGTTAATACTTTAGTCAATAGTTTATTCATGCTTAATAATGCACTAAGTAACGTTAATAAAGGGACCCTTATTGTAAAGTGGTACCGTGTTTTGCTTCACAACTCCTGTTAAGTAGAAAAACCACAGCAGGTGTACACGCTTACATTTCCACAGCAAATCTGATGCATGGCATTACAAATTCTATAAAAACACTGTGCAACAAAGAGAAAACCCTCATTGTCCCTGGATTGTTCCTTTTCCAATTCAAGTCATTTAGATGATATTTTCAATCGCATCGCACATTAAAAGGACATAACATAAAAAAAAGAGTGAGATCCGAGTTCTTTCTCTCTCCTTCTTCATCTCTGAAGTCTTTGGACTTGTGATGGGAAGCTGATTGAAGGGTAAGTACTGCGTTTTGGAGAATCTTTTCTATCATCTAAAGAATCCAGACAAAGACTGGGGGAAAAAGAAACAGAGAAACCCAGAACACAAGTCTGTGATTCCATTATTAGTCTCAGTTCTGCTCTTCTCTCTTTTCATTTCTGATGGCTGGATAATTAAACCTCTGTAGTATTGTCTTCCATCTTCTCTGCCCCACTTCCAGCAACACAAATTTCCCTATGGGCAACTTTAAAAAGGCCCCTTTTAGACATCTGTTTTTCAGATCAGTACAACCCCCCCCCCCCCCCCCCCCCCCCCCCGCTTCATATTAATTTGTGTTCTTTTGTGAAAGTAGAAACGCTAGAGCCAGGACAGAGATGAGCACATATGCAGAACCCTCAACATTTCAACAGCGAGAAAATCAAAGAACGTGAAGAAACAAATCCAAATATTCTTTCTCAACTTTTATTCTACATTAATACCATTAAATAACCCAAACCAAACCTTAAATGTGCACTGCCAGACATCTGAGAGCAGCTTGAATTTTGCAGAGCTTAATTTAAAAGCAGCTTCATTCACCCCTCGAGCTTTAAAGAGAAGGCCTGTCAATTACTATTCCCACGCTGACAGAGGCTTTAGGCGCCACGAGGAACAAGCAGGAAGGCAACAAAAGCACAGAAAAATGAGCACATCTTGCAATGATAATAAAATAAATAAATAGGAAAAACAGTGGGTGCAAAAAGGGTAACTATTGAACTTGCAGTATGTTACATTACAATAAATGACCACTTTTGTCCTTCAGTATGGTTTAAAACCTGAGAAATAGCCTTAACTTCTTCAGGAATGAGGAGCTAACAGCTAGTCTGAGAAGCGCCTTCGTAACACAGCTTCCATCTCAGTGTTACTTTAAAATGCTATTGTGCTTTACATGTTTTTAAGGTAGAACTTGAGATTCCTGCTAACCTTCTTAAACCTGTTTGCAAAAAGACTTTACAGGAGGACTCGTTTTTACAATGAAGGCCAGGCCAAGAAGCAGCATTAGGAGAAGAATTAAATCAGCAATGATACAAGCATAAACACAGTACATCACATCCACTTGTAAAAAGAAAACAGCATCATCATTCATGATATTCAGACATCTCACCTTGGATAACAGCAATGCAACTCACTTACTGACTCCGTTTGCGCCGTAATGTTTTATCTCCACAAATAACACAAGCCTGGAGGAATTCTGCTGTGTGGTGGAGTTGCTAATGCTAATAGCCAAGACTCGCTCTACTGACTTCTGGCTGCTAAATCAACAAATCCTTCTGTGGTCATAAGTCAAGGTGGGCGAGGTTTCAAACACTCCTTTTCCATGTGACGTAGAAGGGACTTGGTTATCTCTGACCCGATCATTTTCCCGATTATCTCAGCATGCATGTGAACCTCAGAGGGACCAACTGCATTTGAAAAGGAACAAGTTTTTCCGTGAACGAGACCTCTAAACAACGTTTTAAAGCTCCTGTCCTAGTTGCGGTCTCTCTGTCCCACAGGCAGGTTTTCATGGATGTACTCCATGACACCCTGTTCAGAGAAATCCGCTACGGTGTGCCCATCCCCTCTCAGGACCCACTTGGTGGAGAGAAGCCCCTCCAGGCCTACAGGACCGCGGGCATGGATCCGAGCTGTGCTGATACCAACCTCTGCTCCTTTAAAGAAGGGAAAAGTTATTAAAAGTCGAACATAATATGAAACAGCTTTTAATCTAATATTTGTATCATAAAACAATCACGAATAAATAACGCAAATTTCACAAGTCATCCGTCATACCCTTTGTATCATTTTTAAAGAGCCAAACATTTGTGTATTTTTTTAATCAGGAGTAAAAGTTAAAAAGGCTTTTTGTAAGTCTTTCAAAACATTTTTACAAGCTTGTAGTTCAGAAATTTTTTTTCACCATTTAGGATAGTTAAAAAAGACCCTAACCCTAACCCTACGCATCCATGATGCATCAATTTCTACTAAACATGAGTAATTTTGTTACATTTTTTGAGAAAATATCACAGTACAAATATACAGAGGCTGGTCCTAAAATTAGAAACTCATGACAAAGTTAATTTATTTCCGTAATTCCATTCAAAAAGAGAAACTTGTATGTTATATTCATTCATTCTTTACAGACTTGCATATTTCAAATGTTTATTTATATTAATTTTGATAATTTTAATTGAAAACTTAAAATTAAAATCCTAAATTCAGTATCTCAGAAAATCTGAATATAAATTAATACCAATGCAAAAAAAGGAATTTTAGAAATGTTGTCCATGTATGAACATGAAAAGTATGACCATACGCAGCACTCAATATTTAGTTGGGGCTCCTTTGGCCTGGATTACTGCAGCAATGCGACGTGGCATGGAGTCATGGACGTAATATTGGGGTGGGGTTGGGGGGGTCGCAGGGGGGACATGCCCCCCCCCCCCCTACTTTTTCCAAAGTCAAGTTTTGTTCCCTGCATTTTTTACCATCCAAAAACAACATTACACTATATTTAATAGACACTGGTTGAGCACTAAAATGGTAAATGGCCTGTATTTTGATATAGCGCCTTCTAGAGTCCTGGAACCCCCCAAGGCACTTTACAACACAACCAGTCTTTCACCCATTCACACACACATTCATGATTATGCACAAGTAGGTGACCAGTTCAGGTTTACGCAGAGCAGAAGGAAGGAGAGAGCTCTGGCCACACAGGTTAAACGTTCCTACTTTAAGAAAACTGTGAAATTGCATTGTTTATGTGCTACCTGGGCACTCTAAATATTTATTTAAAATTAAATCAAAGGAAATTGTAATGGTATTGAATGTTTATTAATTACAATTTGAAAAAAATAAAAGTGATGGGGAAATAAGTTTGGGATCCGCTGCTTTAGACCATCAGCAGCAGTCCAGTCCTTTTTGTCTTTAGGTCAGGCGAGATGCTTCTGCCACTGTCTAAGGAGTGCGACGGCTGAAACCATGTACGTCTGTGCGTGGTGGTTCTTGAAGCACTGACTCCAGCTGCAGTCCACTCTTTGTGAATCTCCTCCACATTTTTATAGGTTTTGTTTCACAATCCTCTCCAGGGTGCGGTTATCTCTATTGCTTGCACACGTTTTTTCTACCACATCTTCTCCTTCCCTTCACCTCTCTATTAATGTGCTTGGACACAGAGCTCTGTGAACAGCCAGCCTCTTTAGCGATGATCGTTTGTGTCTTGCCCTCCTTGTGGAAGGTGTCAATGGTCGTCTTTTAGATAAATGTCAAGTCAGCAGTCTTCTTCATGATTGTGTAGCCTACATAACTAAACATAACTAAACTGAGACACCATTTAAAGGCTTTTTCAGGTGTTTTGAGTTAATTAGCTGATTAGAGTTTGGCACCAGGTGGTCTTCTATATTGAACCTTTTCACAATATTCTAATATTCTGAAATAATGGATTTGGGATTTTCATTAGATGTCAGTTCTAATAATCAAAATTAAAGAAATAAACATTTTAAATACATCAGTCTGTGTGCAAAGAATTAATCTAATATTCAAGTTTCCCTTTTTGAATGGAATAACTGAAATAAATCAACTTTGTCATGATATTCCAATTTTATGACCAGCACCTTTAAAATACTAGAAGTCCCAGAATGCACTGTGAGAGAAATCTTGTCACAAGCCCAGAGGCCCCTCCCCCTCAGCAGTATCCATTCTCAGAAAGGATTCAGCAACCAGGTGAGAGGCAGTCTCCACTAGCGATGGGTACCAAATTCGGTACTTTTTAAGGTGCCGACCGAACTCCATAGTACCGACTGAGCACCGATTCACATCATTTGAAACGGTGCCTCGTTTCGGTACCCGTCCTTCATAACGAGAACTTGCCTAGACAGCTGCGCATGCGCAAGAGCGTTATGTCGTCGGTCGCTGCGAGCCAGTTGTAAACAGAGCAGCATGGTAGAAAGAACGCACGCTAAAGCTTGGATCCACTTCACCAAATGTGATGGGTAACTGGGTGATGATGAAACCAGCGACAACGATCTAAGTGAGACATCCTCATCTTAATCTGCTCCGGTTGGTAAATAAAATGTTTAAGATAATGTTAGCTTGATATGTTAGCTTCCGTTTCGCTAATGGTGCATTCGCTTTCTCCTCGGAACTCCGAATTTCCGACTAGAAGAACATGAACGCGCTCTAAAGTTTGGCTTCACTTTACTAAATGCGACGGGTGATTGGATGAAGATGAAACCAGTGACAACGATCTAAGTGTGAGGCATCATCGTTTTAATCTGTTCCAGCAGTTAAATAAACTGTTTAAGATAACATTAGCTTGATATGTTAGGTAACATTGCCGCCATTGTTATCAGCTAATGGTGCGTTCGCTTTCTCCTCGGAAATTCTAACTTCCCAGTAGGAAAAATCAAATGAAAAAGGACGGCAACAGGAATGAAGATACACAGTAAATTTAGTTCACAGTAAATATGTTTGCTTCAGTTTAATTATCAGCTTATAAAACTACAAGGACGATGTTAAAATACAAACAGTTGAATGTTATTTATCGTGATATTTATCAAATATTGTTATATATTGAGAAAAATTTATATTTAATTATAAAAGAGAATTAAAATATTAAACACTCAAAAGTACTTAAATTTGGTACTGTTAAGTACCGGTGTCGATTCCTAGGTACCGGGAATTAGTACCGAATCAATTCAAATGTCAAAGGTACCATCCCTAGTCTCCACTCTGCTTTTTGTTTTGAAAAACAACAACTCCAAACCAAATACACACCACAGTTTACTGACAGTTAAGCTGAGATAATTGGGTTTTAACTACTCAATACATTTGTTTGAATCAGATGAATTAATCAGATGGAATACGGAATATTACTGTTAGCTGCAACACTTACACTACAGTTAAATGATGAAGAATGGGAGCAACCTTTTAACAAAAACATCATCCCTTAGGGGTTGTCTTTCTACTTATGTACTTCTAATTATATCTGGCAAAAAAGGTCAAGAATACATTTTGGAAAGACTTGTTAGAAAAAGGAAAGAGGCAAAAATGCACAAATATTACTAACCAAGTCCAAATCGATAGCCATCAGCAAATCGAGAACTGGCATTCCAGAAAACACAAGCACTGTCCAGCTGTTGCAGGAACCGTTCAGCTGTCTCCTCTGGAGGAGGAGGAGACAAAGAAGACGACAACTTTTATTTTGTGCTCCAAGTTCCTTTATAATGTTAAATGCAACATAAATTTGGGCAATAATGTCATCAGGAAACAAAGGCAATTGAATATGTTAAGCAGCTGATATGAATATCAATAGACATTAAAATAGAGAGCATAAAAAGCCATAGTTCTTTTGAAGGTTTCCATCAATACAAAGCTGTCTACTTAAATGAACTAATTGATGTAATTTTATTTTCTCACTAGGGGGCAGCAAAACATCCTCCCATGTTGGTGAGCTGATCCTCAATGAAGAAATGGAAAAGGCAAACTGTGCCTTTTTGTATCCAAATGCTGATCAGTGTTGATTATGACCAAACAAAAGAATGCAAAACACATCAGATGATTATTTTTTTACTGACTGGAAGGACTAAGCTTCAGCCCTTTAGCATTTTTATTAGCATGATTCAAGTTTTGATGCTGTGCATTTTAACCTGACTCTGTCCTCCATGATAGAGTCCAAAGGTAAAGGCGAGCACTCATCCTGACATTAAAATGCCACTATTCAATGTCAGAAAGGAAGAAGGAACAGGAAGTTAATCCATTCATTGGAAAAAAATAATGTTTAATTCTTGCATCAAGAAGTACCACGAAGTGGGAAGAGACCAAAACTGACATGGGTTAACTTTGTCATGATAAGGTAAAATTGCCAGAGAGATTTTGCTCTATTAAAATTCAATTCCTTCTTACGAGCGAAAGCTAAAAAAAGCTGCACTTACGGTTTTCTGTGATGATCACATCTGTGTGGGAGCTGCCATACTTGTGTATATGATCCACGGCATCCTGCATGCTGTCCACCACCTCCAGACAACACTCCAGCTCACCGAACTCTGTGCGTAGGGATCTGGTCTCTGATGGACTGAACGTCAGGTAAGAAGCAAACCGTGGACCAGCATGGATCTTCACCTAATGACACCACACAGAACGTTAAAGATTTTGAAATAAAGTACGCTATTTATTCAACTTGGCACAAAGTATAGGGCTGCAGCTATCAGATATTTTAGTATTCAAATATTCTATCAAATCTTCTGTCGATTAGTAAAATATTTTATTTGATGATGTTTCATGTGAAACTAAACTGTGGTCTGCTGCTAAAAACATGAAAATAAAACAATACAATTATAAAAGGATCAGTAATATGTATTAAATTGGTTATGTCTAGTTCACCTCTTTCCCAGCTGATATTTAAGGTTTATAAATATTTTATGGAACAAATTTGACTTATATTTCATTAACATTTGAAGTTTGTATTAAAGTTTCTTTTCGGAGTATTTCTCTTACCCGGTGGCACCATCTAGTGGCTGACAAGCATATCACACAAATAATATCTCCTTCCGTTTTTTTTTTCTTGTTTACAAATGTGTTTCTGTAGCCAACAAACAGATTTGTTTCCATTTAACAGTTTTCTTTGACCAAGGAAGGACAGTATCCTTGCAAGCAAGGCGCCAGGCCTCGCAAGACATCGCCTCACGAGGCCTGGCGCCTTGACATTGAAAAGCACCCTCAATTTCTAATGGTAACAATTTACTGATGGCAAATATTATTATGTACCGGTTGGCAACATAATCCAGTCTAAACTGTATTCAAATGAAGCTTTTGTGAATTATGTGATACAACGGCTTGCCACAGTCTTCTGCACTGTGTGGAGCAGACTCGTGTTGCGGATTCTCTGTAGCAACAACCAGACTCCAGGTAGCAGCTGCAGCGCTGCTCCACACCGCTGCAGCTGCAGACTTCGACAAAACGGGATGGTGGGGATTTTTCTTCTGCTTGTAGAGTTTAGTCATTCACAACGTCATGTTTTATCTGAATCCCACTTGATCGTGAGCGTGCTACATGCTAAGTTTAGCAAATCTGCTCAAAGTCTCACTCTTGATCCCAAACTTTGGACCATTTCTGCCTTTTACAATGATTTGTGTCTTTGCTGGTTTCTCTATTTTCCTCCACAGCACCTAGAGTACCACGTAGCAGCGCACCAGTAAAATGTGCTCAGACTGAGGTGTGCACATTTAACAAAGCTTCGAATCAGTAAAAATTAATCGAGGAATTTAATAAATCAAACTATTCGATGATTTGTTTCAGCCCAAACAAAGACTAAAGAATGTAGTGTTTGGTTAATTAGTTCTTTAGTATAACGATTCTTTGCACAAAAAAAAAAAATGTTGGTAAGTTGATAAATTGGTGTAAAACTGCCAATATGTAGTTTTGTTGCAATATGTCATAATAGCTGCATATTGATGCCTATCTTTTATATGTGTGTAAGATTGGAGTGTAATACTGAGGGTGAATATGGATAAATGTGCCTTTATTTTGTTTATTTTACCTGTTCAGAGCGCAGCATGTCAATTATCTGATCAAACAACGGAGTCTTGAGAATGCTGCGGTGAATCAGCAGAGTCTCCATGGCATTACATGCAGCTGGGTAGTCACACTTCGAGTCTCGGACTAAAAATGAAAGGACCGTTCAAAGCAGGCAGTGCTAATGAATTACTATAGAGTGAATTTGAGTCTACAAACCAATTTTTATGACTTTGTCAATGCTGGCATCTGCATCAACATAAACGTGGCAGATCCCTTCACTGTGACCCAACACCGGGATGCCCTTAGTGGCTCTCTGGATATCCCGCACCAGTTGGGATGAGCCTCTGGGGATAATCAAGTCAACCATCTTGTCTAGCCGGCAAAGATCTGCCACATCCTCACGAGTGCTCACCTTAAAACGGCGTGCAAGGTTTGCATACAACAGTTGGGAATTTACGATGTGTTTGGATTAAACATTTCATGAGTAACACACAAGGTTTGCATTGACTGTTCATGAAAATTTGGGGAAAAACTTGCCATTTGTACAGCTTCTCGGACTCCATGCACAGAGAGAGCTTCCTGAGCGAGTTGATGCAGAACACGATTGGTGTTCGCTGCTTCTTTTCCACCCTTCAATAGAACAGCATTGCCACTGGCTATGGCTAGAGCCGACACCTTCAGAAGAAGAAAAGATATAGACTGAGTCATTACTACAAATATTTTACAAAGAGGCAAAAGGTCTACTCCAGCAGTAACATTATATCTGCACAAGGTCTATGCAAGTTTCTTGAAATTTTTATTATACAGTCTTCTTTACTTTTTGATTTTGGAAACCTGGAATACACTTGACTTCTTTATACGAATAATTTATCAACAACCTTCACGTTCTTTGATTTTCCAAGTAATTCAAGGACATTTCTCCATCATTACCTGTGGCAAGCAATCAGGTCGGGCCTCAAAGATGACCAGAAGAACACCAATGGGCACTGTAATCTGCTCCAGCTGCAGATTGTTAGCCACCATAGTTCTTCGCAGCACTCGGCCGATGCTGTCCTGAGCTGCCATGGCGATTTGACGCAGACCAATGGACAAACCGTTGAGCTTGGCTGGTGTGAGGCTCAGACGACTCAGCATAGCTGGAGGCAAAACGCCTGGGAGAAAGATAACATCAAGACTGTAATGAAATATACAAGATTATCACTTGATGAGATGTTAGAATCTGCTGATAAAAACTTTTTTATTGGGGTTCAAAAGGTGCAATATGTAAGAATGAAGTAAGAATGCCATCCTGTGGTCCAATTTGGTTACTACAACCCATTTTCGAAAGAAATGTGACTTTCTCACTAGGGTTGAAGGGATTAACCGGTTTAACTATTGACCACAGTGTGAAATGTTGCAGTTAACCCATAAATCCAGCAACAACAACCACAGAGACTGCTTCTTTTTCACTAGAAAGCGCTTGAAGTCTCCTGTGTGGGAATATTTTATATTCCCAAAGCTGATAAAGGAGAAATAAGGAGAAATAACCCAAACCCTTTTTCTTACTCCCGTTCTGTGCGTTTCATGGCAGCTGCCCGCTACGACTCAACTCCAGAAGATTCTAGATGGCAAGGGAAGACGAGTCATACACAGTAAGTTGATAAGTAAATAAATACATCTCACTGTATTTCTGAGTTGTTGGTCATTGAAAAAATTGCTTGAGATTTATTGTGAGCTTACTATTAGTTTCACTGTTAGCACTGTTAGCTCAATGTTAGCCTCTAGCCGTGTTCACCAGATATTAGAATAAATTAAAAAGATGATGTGGCTTCTTCAGCCAGATGTACACTGTGCAACGGTTTCCTTGCAGGAAAAAGTTCACGAGTCATGTTCTTCTCACACCATACGATCCAATGCCTAGATGTGACCTGACTGCTCGTGTAGTAGCAGCGCATTGGAGCTAAAATGTGCTAAAAATAGTAGTTTTAACACAAAATGTCAAACTTTCCAATCCAAAAACCCTAAAGACCCCAAGACTGTTGTGCTGACATTGACGTCTGTTGTCCTTCAGGCATGCCGTAGCTGTAGGAGGACATGCATGGGCTACATTGTAGCTCATCATCAGTGTGTGAATGTGTGTGTGAATGGGTGAATGACTAATTGTGTTGTGAAGCATCTTGGGGGGTTGTAGAACGCTAAGAGGTTGCTGTACAAATACAGGCCATTTACCAGGCCATTTATTTGATTGTAAAAATCTTACATGTTGCACCTTTGAGTTAAATCCCTTAGCAGGAACATGTCAAAATTAAATATGACAGTTAAAACATAAAACTTTCCAGAAAAGTTTGTCTCCATTTGGTTTTTTTTCCAGCTCTGTCTTAGACTGAAAAAGGCAGTTTCCTGTTACCTGCACTGACAGCCATCTCCATGTCCATCTTGTTTGCTGCCAGAATTTCTTCCTTCCTCTCAGTCAACAGTTCTGCTAGACGGCAAATGATATCACGTCTCTGACAACACAGACGACCACAAACATGCAGGCTCAGCACAAAGCAGATCTGTCCACTAAAGTTTTGCTGTGGCTGACAAGATAGGGGTGCAACTAACATCATCAATTATGAATGCTCATAACCTACAAAAACACACTTAAACTGCAAATCTCAAAAACAATAGGATGACATGTTCTGATCCAGACGCAGGTGTCACCTGGTCTGGCTGGAGAGAAGACAGAACTCTTCCCAAGCTTTGTGCCAGTTCTGCCTGCTCCTCCACAGACGGACCTAAAACAGATCCATGGACAAGATTAACAGAAACAGCAGCTTCCATAAGGTTACAGAACTAAAGGTGGAGGAAAATACCTCTGACTTTTGATTGTACGCACCAGCAGGTTTGATTTCAGAGAAGAAGGTTCCTACTTTCTTCCCCTCCACTATATCAGTAATGACATGGCCCGTTACTTTGGGGTTGGTGCCATTAGCTATGACCACAGAGGTCCCACCCTGCAGAGCCCAAAGAGCTGCCTTGACCTGAGGCATTTGAAACATACATTAGAAATATTATTTAAAAATCTATTAAACTCACTCAGTAAACAAAATCCTGAAAGCTGATTTCTTACTTACTGTAAGTCCTCTAATACAAGCCCAGGCCTTTATTTACCCCCGCTGACAGCGAGACTGGCTAATGTAGAAGACCCGGCCGGTAATGGAATACGGGCCAATATTAGAGGATTTACGGTAAACAGAATGAAAACATAAACCACAACTTCCAGTAAATCTCTACTATTTTTGCATCCACATTTCACAAATTCTCGACTACGATTGTGTCTATTTGGGCTGTTAAAGAACTTTTACAAAACTAAAATTGAAATAGTTCAGGTTTGGTTTCACATCCTGATCTCACTGTTGTGGGATTCTATAACACAAAGATTTTTCTGTTTTAATTATAATAAAAAAACTGACATAGTAACATGCTACAATGTGTTTGGGGCTCTAACTGCTTCAGTGACTGAGTGTGTCTACTGCACCTTGGCCTCCATGCCTCCAATTCCGACTCTGGACTTTGTGCCATAGGTGATGGACTGCTGGTCTCCAGGATAGAAAGTATCTATGAGCTTAGCATCATCTGTTCCAGGTGGGTTGTTATAAAGTCCTAGAAAATAAATAACCTTTGTAAAAGCTACCTGCTGAAAAGAAAAAAATACATTTTGTCCTAAAAACACTCAATATTTCCAGTTCTGGTCCTAGAGAGGCACCATCCACCATGTCTTTGGCTCTTCTCTGGTATAACTCACCTGATTTGAGTTAACTAATGATTAACAGACTTCAGCGGAACGTGAGGACATGCTGAAGCGGTCACTCAAAAATTGAATCAGAGAAAAAAAAGAAAATATCCAGGCTTGTGCCTCTCCGGGACCAAGACAGGACACCAATGCTGGAATTATCCAATCCATAAAACATCATAGTAAAATCTGATTTCAGGAACCTTTTAAACAAATGTGCTTATTTTCCTTTTTATTTTCTGTGAGAAATAAAAAAAATTTTTCACAGAAGATATTTTAACACCAAACAGCCCTTCCATGAGCCCTAAATGATTATATTTCTGGTACTCTGATGTGGATAGCATTTCTAATGGCCTTGGTTCAGAGAAACAGAGATTGATGACGGAATAATGGAGCAAACAGCCACACAGGACTGGGAAAAGGGATTGTAGCCATTAAAAAAATTCTCTAATGCAAAAATGTCATAGTTGATTATTCACACAATACTTCGTAAACCTTTAAACTGCCATATTGTTGCTAATAAAGCATTCTACTGATATTTACAGCAGGCATTAGAGGAACATCTGTAAACATCCTGGGAGTAATAGTGTATTTCTGGCATAATGTGTGTAATAGTAGGAACAAAACAATGTAAAAACACACAAACTGCTGTAACATTTTTAGAATAGAATGGTTTTGAGATGGCAGAAATCTACTTTCTAACTGGCACCACTGGGATTAGATATTAACCCATCTGTCTAGGTGTAAATAAACTGCTTCTCCAAACTGAGGGTGTTTAAAGAACCATCTGCAACAAGTGCAATATCATCTGGTAATCTGAAAACGTGTGAATATAGGAGCTTGTTTATAAAATTAGACATCCATTTTTCATCTTTCTGGTTACCAGGATCAGGTTACCTGGTTACCTGAGTCATGCTTCCCAGTGGATCCTGCTGGAGTGTGACTCTACTACAGGCTACAGCCCTGCTGGTTTGAAACATGAATGCTAGTCTCTGTTTGTTGTTCCTGCTCAACACTCAGTCATCACTGGGCTTCGACTCTTCTGAGGTGGCAAAGACATATGGCGTTGCTACCCAGCTGCCAACCTAAACCGTTGTTGTGGTAACACTCGTACCTTCCACATCAGACAGCGTGATGAGCAGGTCAGCCTTCATCTCCACAGCCAGCCGTGCTGCTAGACTGTCATTGTCCTTAATGCTGATTATCTAAAGATAAACATTTATAAGCAGAATTAAACTTTATTTAATCAATTTGTTCATTTATTGTCTCAGAGAACAGAATTAATCTGATAAATACAAGAAAAAATATGAAAACTCATCTCTGCCAAAGTTTGCAAAAAGTAAAAGGAGAAAACAATTAATCACAAGGTCTATTTTTAAATAAATGTAGCTTCAAATTTTAGCACATGCAACTTTTTTTCATTGTGACAATTTTTGTGTCTGCTTGCAGGGATGTTTGAGACAAACCAGATCACTTTTGAAATATCTGAGACAAAAGGGTGTTTTAAGCCACCTCTGCTGGGGAGCGTGTAAAGGAGCCATTTAACACCACGTCTAACTACACGGTCTGCCCACTTGTGCATGCATTTCCATCCATCCACTCCCTGCATGCACACGTCTTAATGAATAAAAGAAGAGTTGAGGCAGACGAGATTCAGCATGTATGTGTAGATGATGAAATCTTTGTAGATAATAAATGGTGCATGTAATGTGCAAAAACTGCCAACCCCTCCAGCACCCCTGCTGTTACTGCCAGCGTCGCACCCATGCTGCCTGTACCCACATTTACCCCCTGCAGGTCGCTATCGGGTTCTGGCGGGGGTACCACAGCATCGTTGGTGTTGATAATGGGCACGATGTTCATGCGCAGCAGCTCCTGCAGTGTGCTGTTGAGATTCTGCCTCTTCTCATCATCGTGGAAATCCAAATTCGTCACCAGGACCTGACAACATAACAGGGAAGCAGGGAGTTAGCTGAATGCTGTTAACAAAGGGGGGAACATCTAAATCCAAACACTCAATATACTCAAGTGGGTATTTTTCTGTGAAGTGGACATGTACCTGAGCAGTGCATGTGCTGTATTGAGTAAACATGGCTTCATACAGGGCCATCAGGCCACTCTGTCCAGCAGCAGCACAGGCCCGGGCCTCCAGAACCGGCACAGACTGCAACATAAATGGTTTTATTCTATTTATTTATCTCAAAAAATATGATCAAACCATGCAATCCTGCAAAGGATAAAGGTATACAAGAGTGTGAACATTTTTAAAGCAAAGACCAAATTTGTACTGCAGGGTCCTTACGTGTATTTAACTTATATATCCCATGACAATAGTATGTGAGCTGAATTTATTTTAGGAGGTTCAGTATTTCTGACTTCATTGGAAAAAAAGTTAACTATTTTAAAAAATCTAGAAAAATACTTAAAATGCATTAAAGTAACGCGTTGTTATTATTAAGAGTGGGAATTGTATGTATTAATTATGATTATTTTTTAAAATAACACATAAAAACTTGACCCCTTTGTGCCCGAGCATCCCCCTGTTAAGGTACAGAAAAGTTTAGAAATCTGTAAAAGTTATAGTCTTTCCTTGTACTGTGGTATAATGTAGGCAATATGTCCATTTATTTTTTGCTAAGCCTTTCCCCCGTCCCGTAGATCCCCACACATTTTGAACTGTGTATCTTTAAAAAATAATACATAAATGGGTAAACAACTTTTTGTGAGAATAATAAACATAGAACAGTGTATTTTTGCTCTGTTGGCTGGCTAGAGGTTCACGAATAAGAGAAATTGCTCCCAGCCAGAACCACAGAAGTAGGGGAAAGGGCTTAAAGATGCAATGCATTTTTCCACCTCTAGATGGTGATCTCTGAGAACACAACTTCAGATTTCTGCTTTAGTGACAAAGTGGCAGCAGTTGTCCTGCTTCGTAAAAATGGTAAACACATGAAATGATTGAATCACTATGGTAAAAACAAAAATATGAATAAAAATAAAAGTCAGCAGTCAAATGTTTTATTCTCTCTGAATATTGTTAATCTACTCTACTGCATTTTTTTAAATTTCTTTGAGTAAATAAAATTGGATGAAATACGGAGACAACAATCTACAGCAGAGATCTCAGTTTGCATTCGTTTCAAAGATCTGCTATTTGTTCTTATAACTCATTTAATTTGACTATTATAACAGACCTTTACCATGTTGTTCTGCCCTCTCTTACCACGTCTTTGAGCTGATTGTTTCCAGAATGCAGAGCCTGTCGGACGCTCTGGGACAGCAGGATTTCATGTCTTAATCTCTGTTTGCCAAATGCCACGGCTCCGCTGGTGACAATCATCATCTCCCTGCCCTGATTCTGCAGCACTGCAACCTGGACAAGAAAGACGGTTCGTGGTTTTGTTGTTTTGAAATTGGAGTTTAGAATATTTCCACAAGCCTTAAAGATGATTATTGTTACACTTGAGTCTCACCTGCTCTACGATAGAAGCCAGCCGACCCAAGGCCAAACCGCACTCATCCCCACGGGTGACCACGGCACTACCGAGCTTAACTACGATCCTCTTAGCATGACGCAGCTCGCCACGATGTGCAAAGGAGCTACCATGGACTCTACTCTGCAGAGCTAGAAATGAGAAGGTTTCAAATGGTAGTAATAAACTTTAAAAATAACAAATAATCATAACAAATAACAAAATAACTATAAGAAGCAATGAATAACATGATTTCACATACGCATCTGAAAAGAGATGGAAAAACATACACACTGATACAGATGTAGTGCTTCTTAAAGGGACACTATGCAACTCTTTCATATTTTTAAATCAATTTCTTGAGACAGTATGTGCTAAAATTATCCTTTACGAGGTTAATGAAAAGTCACTCAGACCCCACCGCCCTCTGTGGCCAGACTACTGCATTTGTATCTTCAGAGTGTTGGACTTAAAACAAATGTAGCTGACTACCTGTCGCTGCAGTCTGCTTCCAGCACGTTTTGTATTTTACATCATGATTTGTTTAATTTAGTGATGAATCACTCCTGCAGACACCAATGAAGGCTGGGGAGACGTTTCAGCTGTTAGATCAAGGTCTTAAAAAGACAAACGCACAGCGAGGAGATAAGTTTTGCTTTTGGTTCTACTAAATGAACAATAAGGGGTGCTAAAAGCAAGCCAAAACTGCCTGGTGTCCCTATTAACCACAAAAATGTCAGCACACCTTAGATGTTTAGTGACCACTTCACTGACTGCACACCTGGCTGTCTCTAAACTAGGACTAGGACTGGTACTCCCCGCACAAACTTAAAGGATGCAGGGTTGTTTTGAGACCACAGATTGGATGACTCTCTGCCAAGGATGTGAAGAGGACATCAATGCCATGACTGGACATGTCACTGACTGTATAAACTTCTGTGTGGACAACATCATACCCACCAGAATAGTGAGATGCTTCGCTAATAACAAACCCTGGATGACCAGTGAACTGAAGAATCTGCTAAATGAGAAAAAAGAGCCTTCAAGGAGGGAGGCAGGGAATTATTGAGGAGTATACAGAAGCAACTGAAGATCAAGATCAAAGACAGCAAGGAGGCATACAGGAAGAAACTGGAGAACAAACTACAGAGGAACAATATCAGAGATGTCTGGTCAGGGATGAAGAAGATCACAGGCTTCAAGCAGAGGAAGGATTGCACAAATGGCAGCCTGGACACAGCCAATGAAATGAAAAAGTTCTTCAATAGGTCGGTTCAGGAACAAATGTTCTTTGACTTCTCCAGTGAATGTAACACTATGGAGCCTGATGTACTTTGCCAGAAACTCCAGAAGACACATGTGGGGGCCTCAACCATCGCCTGGATTAAAGACTACCTGACAAACAGACCACAGTTTGTGAGGCTGAGGAACATCAAACCAGGCGATCAGTAACATTGGAACACCACAGGGGACTGTACTCTCACAATTCCTTTTCACCTTGTACACCTCAGACTTCTAGTACAAATCAGAGACCTGTCATCTACAGAAATACTCAGATGACTCTGCAGTTGTCGGGTGTATCAGAGATGGACAGGAAACAATCATCTGATCTTTAATGTGAACAAAACAAAGGAGATGATTTTAGACTTCAGAAGAAACAGGGTGGAGTTAAACACAGTTTCCATCATGGGAGAAGAAGTGGACGTGGTTGAGGAATACAAATACCTTGGAGTTCACCTGGACAACAGACTGGACTGGAGACAGAACAGCGAAGCCGTTTACAAGAAGGGACACAGCAGACTGCACTTCTTAAGGACGCGTAGGTCCTTCAATGTCTGTAGCAAGATGCTGCTCATCTTCTAGAAGTCTGTTGTTGAGAGTGTAATCTCTTCAGCCATCGTCTGTTGGGGTAGTAGCATCAGAAGCAGGGACCTGAAAAGGCTCAACATATAGAACATATAGAAATGATAGTTTCTTCTTTCTTGTTTCTTTCTTCTTCTTCTTCTTCTTCTTCTTCTTCTTCTTCTTCTTCTTCTTCTTCAAAAGCCTAATAAAAAAGGCTGGTTCTGTTCTGGGGACGACTGTGGAACCACTGGAGGAGATGATGCAAAGAAGGATTCTCCAGAGAATCAAGAAAATTATGGACAACCCTGAGCATTCTCTTCACAAGACTGTCTGACAACAGAAGAGTGTCTTCAGTCAGAGGCTTCTTCAGATTCGCTGCAACACTGACCGCTACTGGAGATCCTTCCTGCCAAACAGCCATTGTAATATACAACAACTCTTTGATGACTTAATTATTATTATTATTCTGAGCCACTACAGCAATCAATTTCCCTCTGGGATTAATAAAGTATTTTTGAACTGAATTGAATTGAACTGAATTGAATGAATGTGTGAGAACTCCTGCTCATTGTGTTAGCATCAATCTGTGCAGATCAAACTTAACCATTTAAACTTTTAACAGTCACATTGTTTGAAAAGAAAAACTTTCATGGCCACATTTAGCTGAACTGATTAACTGATGAATGGGTGTGAAGCTCTTGCTCACGTGCATCCGTAACCTGGGAAACAGATAATCACAGCCTTCAAAGCGCCACATCAGCAGTACAAGCAGAAAAAAACCTTTGCTGACACGGCACATCTTTCTGGACCAATGAGGCAAATGAGTGGGGATGACAGAGAGGAAGAGAGAGATCGGGGAGAAACTCACCACAAGTTTTCTAAACTAGAATTAGTCAAACAGAAACATCCCTACTGGCACAAAAACCTACAGCAGTCAAACAGATGTAATGGTAACTTTTTAACCTCCAGTGGTCTCCTTATCCAGTGTATTGATAGGAACAAACAACATATTTTCTCATTTTAACTACGGTGAAATATTAAGACGGCATCAGCCAATTCATACAAGTTACAATTAAAGATAGTTTTTGGTTAATATTTTTTCTTTAATCCTGTTTAAAGTACCATTAGAGTCTGCAGCTAGCACGTTATTGCATAACTTCCAATTATTATTATCTTTACTTTTTGATAAAAGATTTTATTTCAAAGTAGAAAATGTCAGAAAACAGACATTAAGCTTTGCTAATATATTTAAAATACACCTTTTGTTGATCCAAATTAAAATAATGAAGTGAATTTTAACACTATTATTATTAAAAGAGGAGAGCTTAAATTAGAAATTTCGTCATATTTACTCAAAAGTTGTCCTCAATTACTAAAATAGTGATCAAGACATAGTTTATCCCACATTTACCATAAAAGTCCAATTTCCTCCATTTTCTTGTGATCAGGTGATTTGGTCTGGTTTATCTTGCTGGATTACTCTGATCAGGCTAAAACAGACATTCATGACAGGAAACATTTGAATGAAGCAGTGAAGCATGGCTTGCCTTGTGTCAGTGGTCTGATGAGCAGCTGCAGGAAGTGTCTCTGTGGTCCAGGAGGGACTGAGAAGAAGCACGGAGGCAGCCTTCGCACCAGCATCGTCCGTTTTCCTTTCATTAACAAAGGATGTCAGGCACAGAGACAGCTGCTTGAACACGTTATGGTTGCCAGAAAGTGATGACAAAAACAACTTCAAACACCCCCCAGAACACTGGTGTCAAGCCAGCCTCCAATTCCAGCATTGCAGTCAAGCCAGCCTCCAGTTTGTTTTCTGTTCCCCGTCTATTCAAGTTATTACGGGAATGGATGTGGAAACCGGATTTCAAAATAAAATTCAACTTCAAGTGAATTATCAGATATTTTAAGAACATAATAAGAAATTATTTAGGCTTGTTCAATATTAGCGCCCTGTCAATATCAAGGCCATCTTATTTTGGATTTCAAAGTAAAAGTTCTGTGAATTTTGATTTTTGAACTACTCTTTCAATGACTTCAGAATGCTCTTGAAAGTAAAAGTCATATTTCCAAAGAGTAGTTGCATTTTGTATCAACACTATCCAACCACAGCAATTTGAAATTGCCCATATTTGACCGACTCTTAACGATTTCAAAATGCTCTAAAATGGAAAATTGCTGTTTCCACAGGGTAATTCCACTTTAGATCAACAGTATACAACCCCACAGTGAAACCATATCAATATCAAGTCATTCTGATGTTGCCTTCCAAAATAAAGGCCTTTCAAATTGTCCATAATTGACTTACCTTTAATGATTTCAAAATGCTCCATAATAGGAAATTGCTGTTTCCACAGGGTAATTCCACTTTAGATCAACAGTATACAACCCCACAGTGATACCTTATCAATATCAAGTAATTCTGATGTTGCCTTCCAAAATAAAGGCCTTTTTAAATTGTCCATAATTGACCTGATTTTCAGTGATTTCAAAATGCTGTAAAATAGAAAATTGCTGTTTCCACAGGGTAATTCCACTTTAGATCAACAGTATACAACCCCACAGTGATACCATATCAATATCAAGTCATTCTGATGTTGCCTTCCAAAATAAAGACCTTTTCAAATTGTCCATAATTGACCTACCTTTAACGATTTCAAAATGCTCTAAAATAGAAAATTGCTGTTTCCACAGGGTAATTCCACTTTAGATCAACAGTATACAACCCCACAGTGATACCATATCAATATCAAGTCATTCTGATGTTGCCTTCCAAAATAAAGGCCTTTTTAAATTGTCCACAATTGACCAAACTTTCAGTGATTTCAAAATGCTCTAAAATGGAAAATTGCTGTTTCCACAGGGTAATTCCACTTTAGATCAACAGTATACAACCCCCATGATACCATATCAATATCAAGTCATTCTGATGTTGCCTTCCAAAATAACGGCCTATTTAAATTGCCCATATATGACGTAATTTTCAATGATTTCAAAATGCTCTAAAATAGAAAATTGCTGCTTCCACAGGGTAATTCCACTTTAGATCAACAGTATACAACCCTACAATGATACCATATCAATATCAAGTTATTCTGATTTAGCTTTAAAAAATAAAAGCATTTTCAAACTTCCCATATCAGACTTACTCCTGGAACAGTTTCAAAATGCTCTAAAAAGAAAAAATTCTTTTTTCACATGGTATTTCTGCCTTAGAATTATTCTGAAATGTTTTTTTTTATTCTTTCTGTTACTGACATGTATGTTTTGATGTGCACTGGTTTTATTTTGAATGACATCTCCAAGGCCTTTTAATTTATAATAGTCTTGTATTGTTTTTTCTTTTTACTTTGTTTGTCAGGTGTTCACCACATTTAAAACCCACAAAAAATACAATAGTTATTTTTAAAATTAGTATAGAGGTGGAGAATAAACTCAGCTGTGGTGTCTTTTGTCTTATGCAGTCAGAGAGATTATTGAATGTTTGGGTGGATGTATTTTCCTCTGTGGTGGGTTACGAAGTGCACCCACCACCCCAGGCTCCTTGGGGCTTGGTGGTGGTGCTAATGTAGGCCCCCGTCCAGATGGGCATTTGTGGCTTCCAGGGGTGCCTACTTGGGTCAGCGGGGCACCTGGCCACACGAGAGAGTACTTTGCCTTCACTTCCCTCCCCTCCTCATTCCCACTCCATCACACCGCCACACATGCAGGGCTTTGGGTTAGGAAGCACCTTTAATGGTATCATGACTGCACCTTTTGGACTTTACAATTTACTCTCCTTTTATTGAGCTGTTCCCTTTTTCTGGGATTTGTTTTCAAAGATAAACAGATTTACCTATCTTACTTTTATGAAAATGGTTCTATTTCATAACATTACAAATACAAAGAAAAGATTGTGTCATTAATGTTTTCAAAACTGTACGTTTCTTTCAAAACTGCACACACAAAACCCCAAACGTAACACACAACTCCCTAAACCGTGGCTTCCCTTTGCAACAAAACCCTGCCATCACACATCGTAACATGTTCCCAAAATGGAACGCGTGTTTTCATTTGGGAAACACAGCCACATTTTCACATGACATACACATACCAATCATTGCTTAAACACAAGTAGCCTTTGGGTGAACACTACCAAGCATGGAAAGAACACTGAAGAGCAAAACTGAAAACACAATTGTCTAAATGGAACACAATGAATTACACACTGAATGTATGACAGTGCCCACTTTTCTCTGGGACAAACATTAGACATCACACAAATTTTGAGACAAAACATTTTATTTTTACAGTTAGTTTTAGCAATCGAAAAAAACTGTAAAAGAGTCTTATATGGGCAATTTAAAAATGTCTTTATTTTGGAAGGCAATATCAGAATGACTTGATATTGATATGGTATCACTGTGGGGTTGTATACTGTTGATCTAAAGTGGAATTACCCTGTGGAAACAGCAATTTTCTATTTTAGAGCATTTTGAAATCACTGAAAGTTTGGTCATATATGGGCAATTTAAAAAGGCCTTTATTTTGGAAGGCAACATCAGAATGACATGATATTGATATGGTATCACTGTGGGGTTGTATACTGTTGATCTAAAGTGGAATTACCCTGTGGAAACAGCAATTTTCTATTTTAGAGCATTTTGAAATCACTGAAAGTTTGGTCGTATATGGGCAATTTAAAAAGGCCTTTATTTTGGAAGGCAACATCAGAATTACTTGATATTGATATGGTACCACTGTGGGATTGTATACAGTTGATCTAAAGTGGAATTACCCAGTGGAAACAGCATTTTTTCATTTTAGAGCATTTTGAAATCGTTAAAGGTAGGTCAAATATGGACAATTTGAAAGGCCTTTATTTTGAAAGGCAACATCAGAATGACTTGATATTGATATGTTGTCACTGTGGGGTAGTATACAGTTGATATAAAGTGGAATTACCCTGTGAAAACAGCAATTTTCCATTTTAGAGCATTTAGAAATTTTTAAAGGTAGGTCAAATATGGACAAGTTGAAAGGCCTTTATTTTGGAAGGCAACATCAGAATGACTTGATATTGATATGGTATCACTGAGGGTTGTATACTGTTGATCTAAAGTGGAATTACCCTGTGGAAACAGCAATTTTCTATTTTAGAGCATTTTGAAATCACTGAAAGTTTGGTCGTATATGGGCAATTTAAAAAGGCCTTTATTTTGGAAAGCAACATCAGAATGACATGATATTGATATGGTATCACTGTGGGGTTGTATACTGTTGATCTAAAGTGGAATTACCCTGTGGAAACAGCAATTTTCTATTTTAGAGCATTTTGAAATCACTGAAAGTTTGGTCGTATATGGGCAATTTAAAAAGGCCTTTATTTTGGAAGGCAACATCAGAATTACTTGATATTGATATGGTACCACTGTGGGATTGTATACAGTTGATCTAAAGTGGAATTACCCAGTGGAAACAGCATTTTTTCATTTTAGAGCATTTTGAAATCGTTAAAGGTAGGTCAAATATCGACAATTTGAAAGGCCTTTATTTTGAAAGGCAACATCAGAATGACTTGATATTGATATGTTGTCACTGTGGGATTGTATACAGTTGATATAAAGTGGAATTACCCTGTGAAAACAGCAATTTTCCATTTTAGAGCATTTAGAAATTGTTAAAGGTAGGTCAAATATGGACAATTTGAAAGGCCTTTATTTTGGAAGGCAACATCAGAATGACTTGATATTGATATGGTATCACTGGGGGTTGTATACTGTTGATCTAAAGTGGAATTACCCTGTGGAAACAGCAATTTTCTATTTTAGAGCATTTTGAAATCACTGAAAGTTTGGTGGTATATGGGCAATTTAAAAAGGCCTTTATTTTGGAAAGCAACATCAGAATTACTTGATATTGATATGGTACCACTGTGGGATTGTATACAGTTTATCTAAAGTGGAATTACCCTGTGGAAACAGCAATTTTTCATTTTAGAGCATTTTAAAATCGTTAAAGGTAGGTCAAATATAGACAATTTGAAAGGCCTTTATTTTGGAAGGCAACATCAGAATGACTTGATATTGATATGTTGTCACTTTGGGGTTGTATATAGTTGATCTAAAGTGGAATAACCCTGTGAAAACAGCAATTTTCCATTTTAGAGCATTTAGAAATCGTTAAAGGTAGGTCAAATATGGACAATTTGAAAGGCCTTTATTTTGGAAGGCAACATCAGAATGATTTGATATTGATATGTTGTCACTGTGGGGTTGTATACAGTTGATCTAAAGTGGATTTACCCCGTGGAAACAGTAATTTTCCATTTTAGAGCATTTTGAAATCATTAAAGGTAGGTCAATTATGGACAATTTGAAAGGTCTTTATTTTGGAAGGCAACATCAGAATTACTTGATATTGATTCAGTATCACTGTGGGGTTGTATAATGTTGATTTAAAGTGGAATTACCCCGTGGAAACAGCAATTTTCCATTTTAGAGCATTTTGAAATCGTTAAAGGTAGGTCAAATATGAACAATTTGAAAGGCCTTTATTTTGGAAGGCAACATCAGAATGACTTGATATTGATATGGTGTCACTGTGGGGTTGTATACTGTTGATCTAAAGTGGAATTACCCTGTGGAAACAGCAATTTTCCATTTTAGAGCATTTTGAAATCGTTAAAGGTAGGTCAATTATGGACAATTTGAAAGGTCTTTATTTTGGAAGGCAACATCAGAATTACTTGATATTGAAATGTTGTCACTGTGGGGTTGTATACTGTTGATCTAAAGTGGAATTACCCTGTGGAAACAGCAAGTTTCCATTTTAGA